TTTGTGGACACTCCAGCTTGTTTGTCTAAGCTCTGTCTAAACTCACCATGTAACTACCATTTGGCCACCTTGTGCACATAGGCAGCACATTCACCTTTCAGAGGAGAGATGGAGGGAGGGAGCTTTGGACGCAGAAGAGGCACAGGCTCTGAAAGCAGGCTTGAAATTACTTGAATGGAAAATTCTCAGATGCCCTGAGGATGGTCTAAAGGACGTTGTCCGCTCTGGACATGAATGTGTCTTTGCATCTCAATTTCTCACCAGGAAGGAAAGGGGCTTGGCCAAAGGAGGGCCAGGCTGTGACCCTTTGTATATTTAATAATTATTACAGTGTTAAATATATTTGTTACTGGATACCGATAATTTTATTAACCAATCTTTAAAAATCTTTTTGACATTTATAGAGTGTTTTAGTTACAGGGAAAAATTAAAATTTCATTTTTGTTGCAGAAAAGTAAATCAAGATGATTAGTAAAAGACTTTTACGGATAGGCAATTATTGCATTAAGACAAAATTCAGTGATGAAAATAGAATGGAAATGATTTCAATAAAAAGGCACAGTACAAACTTTCCAAATGTTAAAAAAAAAAGCCTATGTATGTTTAATGATGGTATAGAAAATATGCTAGAATGGTATCTTTGCATCATTTAAACTTATTAAGAGTATAAAGTAGATGTCAACTTATTAATGTAAAAGGGGATACATTATTTTTTGAAATTGTTTTAAGAGGAAGATAGCAAAACATTTGAAAGACCACTGCTCTCATAAGGAAGATCAGGCTTAGTAAATGATGTACCATCACAGGCACGTGATGCTAAAGAGAAGTAAATAAGTTTGATTCCTATCTCATACTGACTATCTGAACTTTTACAAGTTGTCACACTCTTCAGTCCCCAGCTGTAAAATTGGATAGGAATATTTATTTGTAGTATTGTGAAGAACACATTAAATAACATTTACAAAGGAAATTACACAGTGTTTGGATCTTAGATGTTGCCCATTAAATGTAAATTCTCTCCCCCAGAAATTAGCCGTGGGTTTTTTTTTATTTATCTGGAATTGACATTCATGAATTACGGTGTGAAGAGTTTCTTCACTCGTGTTAATACTAGGGTCTGTATTCTTTCCAAATGCCCCAATAAGCAGTGTTAAGTAAGCCCTGGTAAAACTGTGCTATATGCCGTCCCTAGGCAGGATTAGAGAAAAACATTCTAGTGTAAAGAATATGAGTAGTCAATCAAAATAACTAACACAAGAACTCTTTATTGGTTTCTTCATTCTAAACCAATTCAGAATAACTGCCTTCAAATAATAAGCTAAAAACAAAACAACAACAACAACAAAAACCCAAACACATCAAAGAGGGGCAGCTGGTTGGCTCAGTAGGTAGAGCATGCAACTCTTGATCTTGGGGTCATGAATTCAAGCCTCACATTGGGCTTAAATTTTTTTTAATAATAAACACATGAAAGATGCAGAACAGGCTGGTGGTTGCCAGAGGGGGGCTATGCGATCTAGGTGAAATGGATGAGGGGCACCTGGCTGGCTCAGTCAGAAGAGCATGCAGATCTTGATCTCCGGGTTGTGAGTTAGAACCATGTGGTTTAGACAGTACTTAAATAAATAAAACTTAAAAAGAAATAGGTGGAGGGGGTCAAAAGGTACAAACTTCCAATTATAAAATAAATAAATCATGGGGATGTAATGTACAGCATGGTGACTATAGTTAATACTGTATTGCATATTTGAAAGTTGCGAAGAGTTAAAAAGTTCTTATCACAAGGAAAAAACTTTTGTAACTATGTATAGTGATGGATGTTGACTAGACTTATTTTGGTGAACATTTCACAATATATACAAGTATTGAATCATTATGTTGTATACCTGAAAATATGATATTATATGTCAATTATATCTCAATTTAAAAAAGAAATTAATATAATCTAAGAGGGTTTTTTTGGTTTTTTTTTACAAATAGTTTATTATCAAATTAGTTTCCACATTACACCCAGTGCTCATCCCCACAAGTGCCCTCCTCCAATCCCATCCCCCCCTGCCCCCCACATCCATCAGTCCTCAGTTTTTGTCAGCATTCAAGAGTCTCTCATGGTTTGCCTCTCTCCCTTTCCCCCACCATTTCCCCCCTTCTTCTCCCCCTTGTTCCTCAGTTAAATTCCTCCTAATCCTATGTGTGCAAACATATGATATTTGTCCTTCTCTGCCTGACTTATTTCGCTCAGCATAACACCCTCAAGGTCCATCCATGTTGCTACACATGGCCAGATTTCTAAGAGTTTGCTTTTAAAATCACATACCATGAATCTCACACTAACTGGGATATTGAACTGTTAAGTCATGGAGGCAATTAGTGGTTCACCATGAAATATTTATATAGATAACACAAAGTTAGAAAATGTATAAATCAATATTTATTGTCAAAGTTACAACAAAATAGGTAAAAACATGAGTTCAAATAACTACATATTGTATACTGATAGCTATTTCAGAATTTGAATTGCCTTGTTATTAAGATAGTTACTAAATATGCACCATTTTTTTTGGTTATATAATAGGATTCCTTTATAAGGAAGTAGTAAGAATGTTAAAAGCTTCTAAGAAGAAAAATTAACATGAAAATTATACGAATTAATTTATTTTCCAGAAAATTTAAAAAGGATCATAGACCAATCATTTCCCTGTCATAGTTTTGGCTCCAAGCATACCTTTCTCTATTCTGAGATGGTAGAGCTGGGAGGGACTCTGACAAAGATGTCCCAGTCTCCCTTGTTACTGTTTGCCAGTGGAGTTTGCCAATGGAGGCATTAAAGAAAGACTGGAAGGCAGAAAGGGAGAAGGAACGCACTTCTATTTTCCAGTTCTTTCAGTATCTCTAGCAGTAGAGGAGGGCTATAGCTTGCCTGCAAATTCTTTTTGCTTTCTCAGCGCCAGATTGCTAAACCATTAACAGCCACCTTGAGACTATCCTTCCGAACTCTTAGGTTATGGTAAATCCATCCTTTCTCCTTTGTTCCCCAAGCTCTATGGTGTTAGCTATTCCTTGAAGTTACAAATCTGTCCCCTTTTTGCTCTTTCAATCATCCAACTTTGTATAATCAATTTCCTGTAATTAAATATTGTTTGAAATTGCCAGTGTAAATCTGCTTTTTTGACTATATCTTGATGGACATAGTCCTACCACAATTTGTTTTAGCAGTGCAACCACTTACTTGTGGGCATACTTTGAGGACCACTGTCCTACTCTACTGGAGATGACTAGACTCAAACCAGTGTTGGACTTGGTGGTATGGGATTTTAAAAAAAGTAAATAAAGGACAGAAACTCTTCCTATGACCAATTACTGACATATGAAGAGATAGTCATATACTTTCAAACTTTCTCTTTAAAAAATTCTTTAATGTTTATTTTTTGAGAGAGAGAGAGAGTGGAAGAGGGGCAGAGAGAGAGGGAGGCACAGAATCTGAAGCAGACTCCAGGCTCAGCACAGAGCTATCAGCACAGAGCCTGATGTGGGGTTCGAACTCATGAACCGCAGATCATGGCGTAGGGCAGTCGGACTCAACTGACTGAGCCACCCAGGTGCCCTCGAAGTTTCTCTTGAAGGTATATTATGCCAATCAAGAATGGAATATCTTAATTTTCCAGTATTTAGTATGAAATGTCCAAGCTGATCTCTATCCTGCAGTGATAATCAGATCCAGGGAAGAGCTGTTTGGTCAAGTAGCCAATCACAACTATCATCCAAAGAACACTTACCTAGTACATTTCCCCAGTGAAGCAACCCAATTATTAAATATTTTAGAGCCTTAAAAAAAAAATGCCTTCTTCTGAAAGTTACAGCACCCAGTTTCACAGAATAGCAAATCGCTTCAACCCTACTAGCCACACTCCTTTTGTCCAAGACTCTCCAGACTTAGCTATTAGAGGTCTCTTGATGGGGAGGGGATTGGAGGATTTATTCTCCAAAGATTGGTTCTCATTTCAAGAACTTCCCCCTTGTTTCCACATACTGCTATTTACCAAGATCTTGACTTGTGTGCACTTTCCAGATCTTCCAGGGTCTGCGGGTGGGGAAGAATGCTGCTTTGTTCAGAATTTTGACTCCCTCCTTGACCAAATTTTAGTTAGGCTCCTCTGGACCCTCTTCTCAACTAGGGTTCAACCTTTGGGCTTCAGTGTTTGTCTTTGCATTACCCATTTGGAACTACTGTTCAGTTCTGGTTTTAACATCACTCAGGGGCTCACGTTCTCATCTTCCTGACTGTGGATGGTTTTTTTGAAGCTGGACCCTAATTGAAGTTGTAAGGTAAAAGGGTGGAAGCAGCACTAACAGAACCCCCAGAGCTACTGGCTATCACATTATAAAGGGCTCTAGTGCAAATGAGCGTCTTCCTAACTAACAGAATCTAACGACCCTTCTGTGGTATCACATCAGGTCCAAGTAGAGAAGGGTTATAAACACGAAGGTAGCAGTGATCCGGCCCATTGCCAGAGATGAGGGATGGCATGCGGGGTGGGAGAACAGCACACAAAGAAACCTCTCCCACGGGCTCAACACTAAAAGCCAGCCCAGAAACAAATAAAGCTCCACCGCTGGTCACAGGTAAACTCCCTCGACCTCTGGGATAAGAACACAAAGAAATGGTCGCCCAAAGTCAGCCACAGTCCCTCTCACAAACCCACAAGCACTCTCACATTCTCCGCGTCACACATCGACCCACAATCACGGGACGTGATTTTAAACACAGAAGCTGACTGCACTGACAGAAGCCTTCGCCCCGCGGTGCACAAGCACAAGTGTGCAGCGACGGTCACACAGAGATCATCACATCTGAGCATTCAGTAACAGTCACGGACGCGCGCAACTTCACGGTTTCCTCCCACACGGCCCCCACAGTCATCCGCGTGGCCAACATCCACCAGTTCTCGGGTCAAAACACCCAGGGTTGCAGTTACCTGCGCAGGCGCGGAGTAGAGGTTGGGGCCCTCTGGGAAATGTAGTTCAGCAAAGAAGGCCGCGGCGCAAAGCTCTCTGGGGCTGGTGGTTCAGAGGCTCGTAAGGAAAAACTGAGCTGCGTCCAGTCCAGCTGGATGTTTCCCCAGAGGAGCTCCGGGTCCCGCGCGGCTCAGTCCCTGCTCCGCTTCGCTCCGCGGGGCATTCTGGGAGGGGACGTTGTGGGTCTTGGGTCGCTGGGCGGGTTTCAAGAGCCCGCGGCGCCGGGAGGTGAGTTGGGCCTGGCTGAGAGCGGGAGCTAGAGGTCAGGGCCAGACTTGAGGTGGACCGTCAGGGACCGGTCTAGGGCCCGCGGGGTGCCTCAGCTGTTACTGTATAACTGTGTGAGAGACTGCGATGTGACAGAACGTGATCTTGTGTGGCACCGCGTGTGTGATTATGAGCGACCTATATGTCTCAGGTATAATACTGTGTGTGTGTGTGTTTCTGTAGGTATTACTGTGTCACTGTATATGGGTTTGTGAGAAACTGCGGGTGTGACATTGTGTCGCTTTATGAATATGTGTGATTATGTTTGGCCACTTGTCTCTATAGATATGAGTGTTTGAATGTGTGTGACAGCAGGTGTGATTGCGAACCCATGACCATCTTTCTCTGCAGTTATAAATTTGTATGAGTAATGGTGACAGATATGTGGCCTTGTGTCGTATGTCACTGTGTGCGAGACTGCGTGGGACTGTCTGTTGAAATAATTGTGAGTCATCATCTCTGTCTTTGGGTTAATGCCACTGTGTATGTATTTGACATTACAGGTGAACTTATGTGACTATGTATAGTGTTGTGTGTGTCTATGTATAGTGTTATGTGTGTGATTGGGTGAGAATTTGTATGTGTGTACGTGAGACTGAAGGCTTGATTTTGTGGGACCTCGTGTGTGATTGTGGGCACAGAAAGATTAAAATTACTTGCCCAAATTCAGACAGTTAATAAGTGACAAAATAGGGTCTTGAACCTAGGCAGTTTGGCTCCAGAGTCCTTACTTTCAGTTACTGAACTCTCTTCATCTTCCCCATACTGTGAGAGTGAAAAATGGGGGCCTTGAGTTCTGAGGGTGTTGGAGAGGATTGTCCCTGGTCTTGGACTAGGAACCGTCAGGATATGGGAACTTAATGTGGGTCTCTTCCTTCAGTCCCCTTGTGAGTCACAGGACCCAGTCTAAAGACCTTGTAGAGAGCCCATCCCCAAATTGGCTGCTCTGGGGATGGAAAGCTCAATCTGAACGCCTGGTCTTCCTCACCTTAGGCCATGCAGTTTCAGATTTTAGCTTTATCTCTGTTAAAACCCTTCCGTGTTTGGTGCTGAGAGAGGCTGATCCATGGCTCTTTTTCTGATGTACCAAGCGAGCTAAATTTTGGTTCTGACTTTCTTAGTTAATAAAGAAAAATGGTCTCATTTCCTTTCCAAATGTGTGTATAGAATGTGAGCAGGAACAAAGGTAGCACTTCTTTATATCAGGAGTTGGCTCATGCAGTCTTGACAGCGAGGAAAGAAAGGTTCTGAAAAATGGAGTAACTTGCCCACAGTCGTGCAGCCAATGAGTGAAGGAGTGGAGAGGTCACCATACACCTATGAAGCCCAAGTCTCTAACATCACCTTCTTTTGGAGACTGATGGCTCATCTCAAACTTTAAAGAATATTACCCAAGTTATACACCACTATTTGCAGACAGAAATTTAAAAGATATTTCTCTGGGGTGCCTAGATGGCCCAATCAGTTGAGCTTCTAACTCTTGATTTCAGCACAGGTAATGATCCCAGGGTTCCCGGATCAAGCGCCATGTCGGGCTCTGCCCTGAGTGTGGAGACTGCTTAAGATTCTCTCTCTCCCGCTCCCCCTCCCCCACTTGCGCTTTCTCTCTATATATAAAATAATAATAAAAAAGTAAAAGACATTTTTTTTATGCAGATACTATGTAGGGTTCCCAGATGCAGAAAAGGCTTCATTGACTCTCCTCTCAGGTTGCAAAGGCTTTTATGGACAATTTTAAGCTGTGTTGCACTAAGGAAATAACTTTCTTAGAGACTGATTGGCCAGAGCAGAGTAGCCCAGATTTAGGGGGTCATGTATCCTGAATTCTAGGTCAAACACAACTATCCTCATTTTTGGAATGAAGAAATGTTGGCTTTGAGAGAACAACAAACATAATTCAGGCTGTGCAATTTGTTATCCATTTTTATTAAAATTTTAGCAATGCCTGCCTATTTTCCTTTTTTTAAATTTATTTATTTCTGAGAGAGAGAGACAGCATGCTCAGTGGAGGGTCAGAGAGAGAGGGAGACACAGAATCTGAAACAGGCTCCAGGCTCTGAGCTGTCAGCAAAGAGCCCGACATGGGGCTCCAACCCATGAACCGCGAGAACATGACCTGAGCCAGTCAGACACTCAACCGACTGAGCCACCCAGGCACCCCTGCCTGCCAATTTTTCTGTGCCACAGAAACGCCAGCTGTATTTCTATGAAGTAATAAAAGTAATAGCTGCATCTCTGACAATGCTTTTCTAGTAAGTATATATGGCATTGATTCCCCAGGTTATGTTAAATAATTCCTATGCAGACATTGTAGCCTCTTGAAAGAGGACTAGTTTTTTTTTTATGTTTATTTTTGAGAGAGAGAGAGAGAGTGGGGGAGGGGCAGAAAGAGAGGGAGACAATCTGAAGCAGGCTCCAGTCTCTGAGCTGTCCGCATAGAGCCTGATGCAGGGCTCAAATTCATGAACCACAAGATCATGACCTAAGCCAAAGTCAGACACTTAACCGACTGAGCCACCCAGGCACCCCTGAAAGAGGATCAGTTTTGAGTGTCATTGTAGCTTGATTCTTATAACTTTGAGTTGGTTAAGCTTTTTGAAACTCAGTTTTACTTGCTGGTAAGATAAGGATAATAATATTTACCTTTGCGGGTACCTGGGTGGCTTAGTCGATTAAGCGTCTGACTTTCGCTTAGGTCATGATCTCGAGGTTCATGGGTTCGAGCCCCGCATTGGGCTCTGTGGTGACTGCCAGCTCAGAGCCTGGAGCCTGTTTCAGATTCTGTGTCTCCCTCTCTCTCTGACCCTCCCCTGCTCACGCTGTCTCTCTCTGTCTCCTAGAAATAAATTTAAAAAAAAATTTAAAAAAAATAATATTTACCTTTGCAGTTTTTTGAAGAATAAAGAAAATAATGACATATGCAGGGTTCCTGGGTGGCTCAATCGGTTGAGCATCTGACTCTTGGTTTCAGCTCAGGTCGTGATCTCCGGGGTCGTGGAATCAAGCCCCAAACTGGGGTCTGCATTGTCAGTGCAGAGCCTGCTTGGGATTCTCTCTCCCCTTCTCACTCTGCCCCTCCCCTGCTTGTGTGCTCTCTCTCTCTTTCTCAAAATAAATAAATAAATATTTAAAAAAAGATAATGACATGTACAACATGTGTAACATCACTATTGATATTACAGGAGGCCCGGTAAGATTGATTTATTCATTTAATAAATATTTTTTAAGTTTATTTATATATTTTGAAAGAGAGAACAAGTGAGGGAGGGACAGAGAGAGGGAGAGAGAGAATCCCAAGCAGACACCATGCTGTCAGCTGGGAGCCCAATGTGGAGCTTGATCCCATGAACCGTGAGATCATGACCTGAGCCAAAATCAAGAGTAGATGCTTAACCTGATTGAGCCACCCAGGTGCCTCTATTTAACAAATATTTTTTTGAGGGCCTGCAAAGGTTCTGGTGTTATTCTAACACTAGAGATACACCAGTGAACCAAACAAATCTTAGTTCTATTAGATCCCACACTGTTGTTGGCAGAGACAACAATAAACAGAAAAAAAAAGTAACATGTCCAATGGTGTCAACAGCTAAGAAGAAAAATTGCAATAAAGAAAAAGACTGGAAAGGAAGTTCTCTTTAGATAGAATTTTCAGGAAAGTCATTCTCATGTGGCGACAACTGAGCATAGAAAGGAATGAAGAGAGGGAATGAGTCATGTTCAGGCAGAAGGAAAATCAAAGGTGACAGCCCTGAAGGAACTGTGCACAGGAATAAGGGTAGGAAACGAAGTCTAAGGGGCAGCCAAGGGCCAGATCATAAACCACTTTGTTGGCCATTTAGATTTTGTTGAGTTCAAGCTATGTGTTCTTTTTTTTTTTTTTTTTTTTAATTTTTTGATGTTTCTGAATGGAGGAGGGGCAGAGAGAGAGGGAGACACAGAATCCAAAGCAGGCTCCAGGCTAGCTGTCAGCACAGAGCCTGACGCGGGGCTCGAACCCATGAACCGTGAGATCATGACCTGAGCCGAAGTCGGACACCCAACCGACTAAGCCACCCAGGCGCCCCTCAAGCTATGTGTTCTTAATAGCAATGAGGACTTCAGGGGTTAAATCTTTTGCCTTTTCTCAGATCTTAGGGGGGATAGGGCTGGCCCATGTAAGGAGGCTATGGAGACCAGAAAGAGACAAGAGTTCTATCTTTGTGAATCTCAGATCAGCAATTTCGGGCTGGTCTGCCATTTTCCCCCCTATAATTCTCCCTTCTCAGGACATTGCCCTCCAAAAGAGAAGATTGAAGAAGGAAGGAAGAATGGCTGTTGGACTTTGTAAAGCCATGTCCCAAGTAAGTTGGGTTTTCACTTTGTTTCCAGAAATTCTACCTCCTTTTTTAGGACTTTGGGACTTCACAGAGACACAAATAGCCCAATGAGCACTGTCACCACTTGTGTCTATCAACTGCTTCATATAATCTCTCTATAAATCATTTAGTATATTTTTTACTCAGTGCTGTGCTCAAATATGTGATGGAAGATAACTATCCTTTTTGGATAGCTCATGATTTGTTATGCTGGGGATTAGTGCAAGTGGAATAAAGGACAGAGATGTGATTATTGAGTACCGTATTAAATAGGGAAGTCAAGGATGGCCTCTCTGAGGAAGTGACATTTAAGAAAAGAAAACCTCAGTGAAAGTAGGGATTACGTTTCGTGGAGATTTGAATAAGAGCTTTAAAAGTAGAAGGAATAGCAAATATGAAGTTATTATGGTGGTAACATGTTTGATGTGCTCTAGAAATATCATTGAACCAGTATCCTAGGAGGGAAATGAGCACTATGAGATCAGAGGAGTAGCTGGGGAACAGGTTATATAGGACCTTGAAACTCATGACCAGAACTTTGGGTTTTGTTCTAAGGGTGAAGGAGAGTCATTGGGGGTGTTTGTGATGCAATTTGATTTATATTTTAAAAGGAAAATAGAAAGGAATTAAGGGTGGGGTGGGGTGACCAGTTAGAAGACTGCCACAGTAATCTAGATGGAAGGTGATAGCTGCCAGGACTGTGGTGGTATCATTGGAGCTGCTGGGATTTGGGGTATATGTTGGAGATAGAAAATATGGGATTTGGTCAGGGATTGGTTGTGGAGTGTGAGAGGAAGAAAGAAGTCTAGGGTAACTACAAAGATTTTTGACCTGGGCAACTGTACAAATGGTCATGCCATTTACTGAGATGGAAAAACAGGGAAGAATGAGATGGGAACAAGAATTGAATTCTAGATACATTAAGTTTGTGAGACCTACTGTATATCCAAGTACAATATTGATTATATACCTAGAGTCATGATTGGAAATGTGAATTTGAGAATCATTAGTGTATTTAAAGTCATAGGACAGGATAAGATTTTCTTGAGGGTAGGATTGTGAGTATAGATAGGAAAGATGCCCCAGGACTGAATTTGGGTATTATCTAGAGGCTGACAAGAAGAGGAGGAATCAGCAAGAGAGACTGAGAAGGACTGACGTAGAAGGAAAACCAGAAGAGTGGGAAGTCAAGAGTACAGAGTATTTCATAGAGGGTATGATCAACAGAATTAAACTCTTCTGAGAGATTGAGGAAGATGTAGACTGAGAACTGACCTTTGGATTTGGCAACATGGAAGCTGCTGATATTCTTGACAAGAGCTACTTTATAGAGGAGTTGAGATGAAAGCATCATTGCAGTGGGTTCATAAGGGAATAGTAGGCCTAAATAAAAGGTGAGAATAGAGATGAGTCTAGACCTGCGCTGTCCAGTAATGTACCCAGTAGCCACTTAAGGCTGCTCTAAATTAAGATGTGCTATAAGTATAAAATATATACAAGATTTTAAATTTTTATTATTTTTTTAATTTTAGAGAGAGAACAGGCAGGGGAGAGGGGCTAAGGGGGGGGGGAGAGAGAGAGAGAGAGTGAGGGAGAGAGAAAGAGAGAGAATTTTAAGCAGGCTCCAAGAAGCCTGGTGTGGGGCTTGATCCCAGAACCCTGGGATAATGACCTGAGCTGAAATCAAGAGTTGGGCATTCAACCAACTGAGTCACCCAAGTTCCCCAAATATATACCAGATTTTGAAGATTTAGTACAAAGAAGAATGTAAAACATCTCAATAATTTTTAGATTGAGTATATGTTGAAATATATGAATATGAATTATTATATTAGTATATTAATATTTTAGATATAATGGGTTAAATTAAGTATATTATTAAATTTACCTATTTCTATTTACTTTTTTTCCTTTTTGCAATATAACCTATTTGTTCAGCATGACATTTGGTCTTAAACATCTTTAAATGTGCTTTATACTTTTTTCTTACTTGTGAGATTAAATAAGATAACTGTAAAATGCTTATTAGGGTGTCTGGCATAATTGGTCAGTAAACAGCAGAATATAAATAGCAGTTATTCTTATTTTTTCATTATTTAAAAAAAATTTTTTTTAATCTTTAGTTTTGAGAGAGAGAGAAAATGAGACAGAGTGTGAGTGGCAGAGGAACAGAGAGGAGGACACAGAATTCGAAGCAGGCTCCAGGCTGTGAGTTGTCAGCACAGAGCCCAACATGGGGCTTGAATTCATGAGTCATAAGTTCATCATCTGAGCCACCCAGGCGCCCCCTAAAAATTAATATGTGGCTTACATTGTATTTCCATTGGATATTGCTGATTTAAACAACTCTTTAGAAGAGTTCTGTTATTTTTTTAAAAAGTCTTATTTATTTAAGTAATCTCTACTTTTTTATTTAAGTAATACTCTACCCAGCATGGAGCTCAAGCTCAATGATCCCAAGATCAAGAGTTGCATGTTTCTCTGACTGAGCCAGTCAGGTGCCCCTGGAAGAGTTTTGTTATTAAGAGGCGTAAGGAAATGGGACAATAACTACAGTGAGATTATGGAAGGGACTTTAGCTATTTATAAGATGAAAGGTATTGCATCAGTTTGTATATTAATAGAAATAATCTAGTAAAGTGAGAAAATACCAATAATATGAGATATCTGATATCTCCCTGATAATTGCAAGGGAGAGAGGTGACAGTGTCTTTATGTGGACAAGTGAAGGGATTGGTCATAGATAGGAGCCTAGAGTTTTATCAATAGAAACAGGGAAGACAGTATATGAGTATAGATATAGGTCAGCAAGGACTTGTAATGAACAAGAAGATGAGGAGGTTCAAAGTGGAACAGGGGATGAGTTGGTGGTAGTTTGAGAGAGAAACAGAAACTATGAAATAGTCATGGGAGAGTAGGAAAGTGAATTTATTAGGGAAGTGTACTGGTGCTTTTGTGGTCATACATTTTATCAGTCAGGGTTCCAGCAAGAAACTCAAAAGGGGACTCTTTACAAGCTATGATCAGTATATAGAAAAACCACAGAGCATAGTGCTGTTCCATGGGACTCATAACAGTGAAACTTGGGCCTGAATCCAGAGACGGAGAGATCTGAGTGTAGAGGGCCTCTGACAGGCACTGTGACCTAGGAGTGAAGGACAGACCACACAGGGCGGAGTTGCAAGGAGGGTGCCAGGGGAGTAACTAATGTGCTTCACTCGCCTCTCTCTCATCTCTTGCCTGTGGCTGAACCCGACTGAAAATGGGGCTGGGAAAGGGAGTCTATTAATACAGTTAATACAGGTGAGCCATAGAGAAGTGTAGAGGGGCACACGGAAGTTATACAATAGTATGTATTCATGTGATGGTTTTTCTCTGGCTACATTCATTCACGTTTCTACTCTGTAGAGTAACCATATTTAATATGTGTTTATTTATTTTTGCAATTTGATGGACAGCAATATAACACTTAATTTGAAAGTACAAGCAAAAGAGATTTTTTTCTCCATAAACTTAAAATATAAAAAGTAGCTCAAAAAGTGGAAAACTGAATAGAGCAATGTGCATCGTGCAGGCCTGAAGCTGCTGTGTTTAGAAGAACCCACTTGCAGATTGGCTTTTGGCTGGCATCTGAGATCTTGGCACTAGTTTCATTCTCTACACTGATAGAGATTATTTTTAATAAAAAATGAGACCATACTCTGCACATGGAACTCTCCCATTTTAAACATTGAGTACTCTTCCTTCCTATGGATATATTCTAGGAAACTTTACCATTTATTCACTGAATGGCAAGTATTTACTGTTTAAAATGTGACTGCTTTTATAATAGACACTGGATATTCAAAAGCTTATAAAACAGATATCCTTCCCTCATACAGGTTATAGTTCAGTGATGTAGGCTAAACTCTTATTTTTTGACATGTAAGTATTTTCCAGATATAACCTTCCAGTGAAAATTCTAAATCTCTTCACACATAGTTTATTATTTCTTCAGGACACATTTTTTGAAGTTTCTCCTTACATATAGTCTAGGTTTCAGACCACACCCTTTAGTTAAAGCCCAATTCAAGGCCTTTCTTCACTACTCTGACTCATGTCAAAATATAAAGGAATCATCCCTATAAGAATTTCTTGATACATAGTGTATGTAACATAAAACAGCCTTACTCACATACTTTCATGTTATAAACTCATGTTTCATACCATAAGCTAATTTTTTCCTGTGTATAGGTCTTATTTCACAAAAATGTGAGATTTTTTTTCTCTCAAAATATTTGACAAACCTGGACATGTACTTGCTCCCCAATAATTAGTTTCCTTGGGCTACCTAGAGAACTCTGGCAGAATTAATCTTTTCTGCTAGGACCATATGGTAGCACTTGGCAAATGAGATTTTTTTTTTTTTTTTTTTAATTTCAGGGTTTGGTGACCTTCCGAGATGTGGCTCTAGATTTTTCCCAAGAGGAATGGGAATGGCTGGACCCATCTCAGAAGGATTTATACAGAGATGTCATGTTGGAGAACTACAGGAACTTGGTATGGCTTGGTAAGGATGTCTCCCCTATAATTCAGAATCTTCCCTCTGGTGTGTTTTTGCTTCCTCCATTAGGAATATCTAGGTCAACTTAAGTGCTTAGCTGAAGTTTCTTTTTCCTGTTACCAGGAAATAATTTGAAGTCATTTCAAAGAGTTAGAAATGAGTAGTTGCCATTGTTGTAAAAGGATGGTTTGGAATAGCAGCATCAGTATGGCATAGGAATTTGTTAAATTGCAAATTATAGAGTCCTACTATAGATCTACAAAATCAGAAACTCTGGGAACAGGCCCAGTAGTTTGGGTTTCAATGAGCCCTCCAAATGATTCTGGTGCTCATTTAACTTTGAGAACCACTGTGGCTTCTGATTCAGTAGGCCTGGATTGGGGCCTACTATTTATTTATTTATCTTGAGAGGGAGAGAACACACATTCGCCGAGCAAGCCGGGAAGTGGCAGAGGAGAGAATCTAAGCAGGCTCCAAACTGTCAGCATGAAACCCAAGTTGGGGCTTGAACTCACAAACCACAAGATCATGACCTGAGCCAAAATCAAGAGTAGGACTCTTAACTGCCACTCAGGTGCCCTGAGAATTTGCAATTCTAAGTTCCTAGGTGGTGGTGCTTTTGCTTTAGCACTTTAAGAACCACTGCTACGGAAGAAGTTTCATCTTCGTCCTTCATACCAACATCATTCTATTCTCTTGCCCTTCCTCTAATTGCGTTTCTTGCCTAATGACCAAGAGGTTGAGTTTGAGTCCTAGAAAGGCTAGACTGTCTCTCTGTTGGTCTCTTTCTTGCTCTCATTGTTCTTCTCCTGTAAACAGGACTCTCCATTTCTAAGCCCAACATGATCTCCTTATTGGAGCAAGGGAAGGAACCATGGATGGTGGAGAAAGAAATGTCAGATGGTCCATATGCTGGTGAGTGACAGGGAACTGGACGAGGGTTGTTGTAAGATTCCAGCCCAAGTGGCCATGAGCAGGCTGCCCTGCACTTGAGGAGGCCACCTGGACTTGGTGGGGGTGGGTTTCTCTTTTTTTATCAAAGTATATGCTCTATGATTCTTCTAGACATAATCTGAATCGCAGTCCTTGCCAGCTCTTCTTTTCCCTTTAGGATCAGAAATGTATACATTTCCAGATTTCATTTTAGAGTTTTTATTTTTATCAAAGTTATTATAAAGGTTACGTATGCACATTGCTTTAACGAGTTAAGTAGTTGTACATGGTGTATTCCCTTAAAAAAGGAAGTCTCTTGTCCTCCTCCCTAGCTTCCCTCTCTGTAAAGGGATCAGCTTTCTTTACTTTTGCAACTTTTTTGATATTTCCTTCATTTCTTTAACAAATATATTTATGTTGCTATTTCTTAATTACTTTTTCAGGTTTAGTCCTCAACCAATATCTTCTAAGAAAATAAGAATTTTTTTTGAAAATAAGAATTTAATACTTTCTTATCTTGAATCTAATACATGTGCATATGCATGCTCATGTGCATGTTTACACACACACACACACCACAAACACACAGACACAACAGACAAACAGACACACACACACACACACACACACACACACACACAGTTCCCATCTCCCCATCTCACCGGTATCATAATTTTGATTGAATCACTGTTTAGGGTTTATATTATTGTGGCTATTAAGTGCTAGTCATAGCCATGCTGTATATATACCAAGATTACTTTTTCTATACAACTTTTTTTTTAAATGTTTATCTATTTTTGAGAGAGAGACAGAGTACAAGTGGGGAAGGGGCAGACAGAGAGGGAGACACAGAATCTGAAACAGGCTCCAGGCTCTGAGCTGTCAGCACAAAGCCTGATGTAGGGCTCCATCTCAGAACCGTGAGATCATGACCTGAGAAGTCGGATGCTTAACCAATTGAGCCACCCAGGCACCTCTCCATACAACTTTTTATTTTTCCTGGAGTTAATAATTTCGGGGAGGGGTGGTGGAAGTGTTGTCTATTTGGTTTTTTTCCTTGATTTTCTATATACATATTCCTCACTCAATTCCCTCCTCCCCATCAACTATCTAAATCTCTTAAGACACTCAGACACATTAGGTAATCTATTGATTTTATCATCTTGGAGAAATCTCTCCTAGACTCTTCAGATATGCTTCACTCTGGACAAATGGCTCATTATATCTTCATGTACTCAGTTTGGGTTTATCTGATGTTTTCTCATGATTAGATTGAGGTAATGCATTTTTGGAAAAAGTGCAACAGAAATAATGTTAAGTTTCTCTCAGTGCATCATAGCAAAGGATTCATAATATTGATATGTCTTTGATCACCTGGTAAATGTGGTGTCTGCCTGGTTTCTCCAATGTAAAGTTACTATTTTTCTATTTGTAATTAATAAATATCTTGGGAGAGATACTTTGAGGCTATGCAGTTTCTTTGAAACTTTTGCCCACTAATTTTAGCATACATTGCCCCATTGGATCTTGTTTGTAACAGTTATTACTGTGGTATTGACCTAATGTTGATTTTCCATTTTCCTCCTTTCTTTACATATATTAATTAGGATTGTCGTATAGAGAAAAACTGTTTCTTCCATTTGTTTATTCAGTTATTTCTTTGTGGAATCATGGATTTTTATTTTTTCTGGGTGAGATTAATCCAGTGAATCATTATTTTGTTGCTCAAATTGCCTTAGCTTTAACCATGGAGATATCCTTCCAGTTGGTTTCTTTGACCTTGTAACATGCCCCCCATCCATTTTTGAGCACTTCCTTTCTCCCCAGCTCCAGGTGTTCAGGTTCATCTTGTTTGCCTTGCCCCAGCCTTGAATCAGGTCCTGCTCCTAGGAGCTCTGGTTCCTTTTATTGGGAAATGATGTTTAGAAACCAAGGTGTAGATGCTATGAGTGCTCATTGCTACTGGGATGTCATTGCTCCTAGGCCCTCACAGCAGATTGAGCTGGAAAATATTTGTATATATACCAACACACACAGGTACACAAGACATTTCTATATTTATTTCTGTCTCAGTCTTTTTAATATATTAAAACTATCAGTTTATTTTTCTATCTTGATTCTAGTCTTAATCCATAGGGCTTATTGTAGCCTCCTTCCTTTAGTTACCTGCAATTTCTTTTTCTAAAAATAAGAAACCATGTATTTACTTATTTGCTCAATTTTAGTTGAGAATTTACACAAAATTTCAGAATTTCCAAGATACTCCTCTGTAAGAAACAAATTTACTAACTAGATTACATTATTCATATATACTTCTTTTTGTCCTTAGTCTTATAGTATTCAGCCAAAATACTATTTTTCAAAGTTACTTAGGTTCTTTTAGGTTCATTTACTACTGTTTGTATTCTGTTTGCATTCCTACCACATCCTGGTTGGCTTCAATTTTTTTTTATTTTTTGTATCTGAAACATTATTATGTTTTTAGGAATCAGAGCTATATAGAAATATGTCCCCAGAAATGTGTTACTCTCTCCTCACCCCCACTATCCTATTTCTATTCCCTTAACTTCTTCCTACCACTTTCTTACCTGCTTCTTGTAGGTTACCAATCCATTATTTTCAGGTTTGTCCTTTTTATGTTTATTTTGTACAAATGAGCCAACATATGTGTAGTTTCTTGTAAGTCCTTGTATGTTACATGAAAGGTAGCATACTATAGATACACTTTGCATTTTACTTTTTTTAATTACAGGGAATCACTCCATATTATTCATGGAGATCTTCCTCATTTTCTTAACATTTTTTTAAAATGTTTATTTATTTTTGAGAGAGAGAGAGAATGCACAAGCAGAGGAGGAGCAGAGAGAGAAGGAGACACAGGATTTGAGGCAGGCTTCAGGAGCCGAGCTGTCAGCACCGACCCCGATGTGGGGCTCAAACCCACAAATTGCGAGATCATGACCAGGGCCAAAGTTGGACACTTAACCTACTGAGCCACCCAGGTGCCCCTCTTCCTCATTTTTTTAGCAGCTGCAAAATACTTATGTGGGTGTTATGCTAATTTTTTTAACTACTTTCTGATGTGTGGTCTTTTAGGATGTTTGCACTATTTTATAGTTATAACCAGTGCTTCAGGAAATAACCTTGTTTGTATGTATTTCATAATGTCAAGGCTGTATTTTCAGGAGAGATTATTGGATATGGGATTCCTGAGTGAGTGCATATGTAGTTGTTTTTAGGAATTGCCAAATTCCCCTTCAGAAAGGTTTTACCAGACTACTTCTGTATTAAATTTGTATTGCTGCTGTAACAAATTACCACAAATTTAGTGGCTGAAAACAATAGGAATTTATTATCTTATAGCTCTAGAGTTTAGAAATCGAAAATGGGTCTATTAGACAAAACTCTAGATGTCAGCAGCCTGGCTTTTTGTGAATGCCCTAGGGAAGAATCTGTTTCTTGTCTTTTTTTTTTTTTTTTCTGAGAGAGAGAGAGGCA